CTCTAAGACAACAATAGGTGTGATTTTTAGAGGTTTCTAAAGCAATTTTTATGTGTGGATCTTTTTGAGATTTTTGGTGATCTCTAAAGCAACAATTGGCATGGATTTTTAACAATTTTTTAATTAACCCCTATGCAAAAATAGGTAAGGTTTTTAACGATTTTTTGGTGCCACCTTAAACGATATTAGGAGTGAATTATTTATTATGTTTTGTGACCAACTATACCAACTAGCAACTATAGGTGGGGAATTAAAAAAAATGGTGGCCTCTGGTTTAACATAAGGTGGATTTTTTAAAGATTTTTTCGGTGACCTCTATGGCGGCAATAGGGGTGAATTTTTTTTAAATTTTTTTTGGCAACCTCTAAGGCTACAATAGGCGTGGATTTTTTATGACTTTTGGTTGAGCACAAGGACGCAAATAGGAGTTGATTTTTTACAGATTTTTTGGTGGCCCGTACAGAACAATGGGCGGGCATTTTTGAAGATTTTTTTTGAGGAGACAAATAGGTTTTTTAAGGAATTATTGGTGGATAATGGGAGAGTATTTAAAAAAAAATGTTGGTAACCCCTTGGTAACAATCTCTAAGGCAAGGTAAAAATTTAGATTTTTTCAGATTTTTAATTAACCCTGTAGAGACAAGTAAGCAACAGTAAGGTAACAATAAACATGGATTTTTAAACATTTTTTGATGACCTCTAAGGAAACAAAAGGCGTGTATTTTTAAAGATTTTAAAGGACCCCGAGAGGATAAATGGGCGGTCATTTTTTAAAGATGTTTAAATGAACCCAGTATGGGCAATAAGGGTGTTTTTTAAGATTTTTTTGTGGCCCCCCATATGAAAACAGGTGTGGGGTTTTAAAGAATTTTCGGTGTCCACTCAAATTATGATAGGTATGGATTTTTTAAATATTTGACCCCTCAAAGGATAATAGACGTGGATTTCTTACGATTTTTGTTGACCTCTAGGACAACAAAAGGAAGAAATTTTTTAGAGATTTTTTGTGTCCTCTAAGCTACTTTAAGGCGTGGATTTTGTAAAGAATTTTTGGTCACCTCTAAAGCAACAATAGGCGTGGATTTTTAAATGATCCTGAAGAGCGATTAGAACTGAATTTTTCAAATGTGTTAAAATTGTCCTGAATAGCCGTAGATTTTTTAATACAGGACAATGAGCGGGATATTTCAAAAACTTATTGGTGACCCTTTATAGGACAATGGGTGGGATATTTCAAAGATTTTTTGGTGACCCCTTACAGGACAATGGGTGTAGATTTCATAAAGTTTTTTGGTGAGCCTTTACAGAAGAAAGGGCGTGGATTTTTAAAGACTGTTGGTGATCTTGAAGGCAATAAGAAGTGTTGATTTCTTACAGATTTTGAAATGATCCTCAAAAGGCAAATAGGCGGGGGTGTTTAGTCATTTCCCTAATGGACTTTAGTTTTAATTTTTTTAAGGATTTTTCACTTAAGGGAACACCACCCATTCTCGATTTTAATTTTTCAAGATTTTCAATGAGCTGGTAAATCAATAACAATGCTTGTTAAAGTTTGTAACTTTGCACATATATATTTAAGAGAAGAAAAATAATTTACAAAAAAATAGTGTAATTGTATTGTTGTTGTTTTTTGTAATTAAAGAGAAGTCCTTACTTTTGATGGCGGGCATGATAGCTCCTCACTGGAACATCGGAATTCGAAAATTCCTACGGTGTTAGAAAGAGTAATGTCTGGCTCTCGTATCAACTAGGATTATTGACTTCGCTCTAAAATTAACAAAATGGCGTACCTTTGAAAAAATATTTTTGAAAAATCGCCGATTTTTGACCAAAAATCAAGTTAACAAATAAGGAAGATCTTCACCGATTGGCTTTATCCTAGTTCATACGATAGCTATACACTCACAGAGAAACGTGTAAAAATTTGGAATCGATTGGGATTGAGAAAAACGCGCTTAAAGGTTGAGAAGCCCTTTAGCCGTCACTTGATGCTGACACAATAAATCGCCTATATCTTCAAAAGTTCTTGAGATTTTCACTTGAAATTGTGTAGAGACATTCTTAAATTAGTGTAGATTCGAATTAAATCAAAAACAAGTGAATAAGCGGTAAGTTCGGCCGGGACGAACTTTGGATACCCTCCACCATAGTTATATTGACAGGTACTATAAATGAAAATATAGGAAACATACCAAAAAGTGGACCTATACCGACATTTCTAAAAACGGATTATGTAAACCATAATAAAAATTTTCGAAATTTTTAAAGGGTGGGTGTATATACTTTAACACGATGCAAATGTGCCTCATCGAAATTTGGACCAAATCCGTTTCAGAAAATTTAGATTTCATCCGAAGTTTGCCCATCTTATTATTTCTTCCAAGCTTAGTTGAAATTCGAAGATGGGGAATATCGGTCCACTCCTTCTGGAACCTCCAATCAGGGGCTAGGTCTAAATGCGGCTATAGTTCACTACCGAACCTTACGTTCTAATTTTTTATCTCTCTATCCTCCGCAGTTGAAATGATTACAAAAGGGTCTTAGAACCAAACCCAAAACGCGCAACAAATCAAATAACTATTTTAATATAAAAAAGGGGGTTATATGGGGACTACCCCTAAAAAGGGGTGAATATTAATAATTTTGGGTGGGGAGATTTGTTACCATATACGACTACAAAAAACCAAATTTCAGGGAATTCGGTTGAAAACCGCGCTCAAGAACCCTAAAATACCGAAAATTAGGGGGTACCCTTATATGGGGGCTACCCGAAAAAATTGACCTATATTTATAATTTTTTTGTGGAGAGATTTGCTACCCAATAAGAACTCAAATTACTAAGTTACAGCCAATTCGGTGAAAAAATCCGGTCAAAACCCCTCAACAACTGGAAATTGGGAGGTACCCTTATATGGGGGCTACCAGAAAAAGTGGACCTATATTTATAATTTTTAGTGGGGATATTTGGTACCCAATAAGAACCAAATGTACTAAATTTCATGGAATTCGGTTGAAAATCGCGCTCAAGAACCCTAAAATACCGAAAATTGGGGGGTACCCTTATATGGGGTCTACCCAAAAAAATGGACCTATATTTATAATTTTCAGTGTAGAGATTTGCTACCCAATAAGAACTCAAAGTACCGAATTTCAGCGAATTCGGTTGAAAAATGCGATCAAACCCCCCAAAATACCGCAAAATTAGGGGTACCCTTATATGGGGGCTATCCCAAAATATGGACCTATATTTATAATTTTTTGTGGAGACATTTAGGACCCAATAAGAACCTATTGTAGCAAATTTCAGCGAATTCGGTTGAAAAACGCGCTCAAGAACACCAAAATACCGAAAATTTTGGGGTACCCTTATATGGGAGCTATGCCTAAACGTGGGCCGATATATCCCATCTTCGAACTTGACCTGCCTGCAGACAAAAGACGACTCTGTGCAAAATTTTGGCGATCTATCTCAACTCGTTTAGACGCTAGAGTGATTACAACAGACGGACAGACAGACGGACAGACGGACATGCTTAGATCGTCTTAGAATTTTACGCTGATCAAGAATATATATACTTTATAGGGTCGGAAATGATTATTTCGATGAGTTACAAACGGAAAAACAAAACTAATATACCCTCCATACTATGGTGGAGGGTATAAAAAATTTGACCCCGAGAATCGGGGGGTCCCCTTAAAAGATATGAGTCTTATTTTTTTATTTTTCAGTGGTCCTTCACAGGATAATATCCGTGGATTTTTAGAGATTTTTATGTAGTCCCTTTAAATGCTAAAGGCGATAATTTTTTTTAAATTCTTTTCCTTTTAACATTATTACCTTCCCTCCATTTAAATTTCATTTTCCGAATTTCCTTTTCTCTCTCTCGCTTAATTAACATATTTTACTTATGGCTTTTTAGGCTTTTCACCCATCTTTTATGCGATTTATTGTTTTTGCCCTCAGCTACCTTACCCTTGCCGCTCCATTCCCTGTGTACACGTAAACTAATTACATTTTGCAAAGATTTATACGCCTATACTTTATATGTCTATACTTGTATATATGGGCGTGTGTATGTGTGTGCTTCGTTTGTTGTTATTGCAATATTTTGCTATTTATTGCTATTGTTCAGTAACGCCTCTTGGGCGTACTGAACGTCGTTAAAGTTATGCATTGGCCTTATTTAGTGTGGAAGTTCGGGCGTTGTTGTTGTTGTGTAGCTATTGAAAAATGACAATGTAATTAAATTTGGAATTTAAGAACTTCTCTGCTGAGCCTTTTAAAAATTCTTAAAAATGTTAAACATATAGCCTTAAAAAAATTCACGTCTTCGGGGACATTATTTTTTTAATCCACGCTATTGACCCTTAAGGGGTCATTTAAAAATCTTTAAAAAATTCACGCTTATTGGCCTTTAAGGCGTCATTAAAAAATCTTTAAAAAAATCCACGCCTATTGGCTTTTAAGAGGTCATTTAAAAATCTTAAAAAAATCCACGCCTATTGGCCTTTAAGGGGTCATTTAAAAATCTTTAAAAAATCCACGCCTATTGGCCTTTAAGGAGTCATTTAAAAATCTTTAAAAAATCCACGCCTATTGGCCTTTAAGGGGTCATTTAAAAATCTTTAAAAAATCCACGCCTATTGGCCTCTACGGCCAACAAAATCTTTAAAAAAATCCACGACTAGTGGTATTTTCGAGGTCGTTTAAAATCTTTAACAAATCATTTAAAAATCTTTAAAAAATCCACGCCTATTGGCCTCTTTGGGGTCATTTAAAAATCTTTAAGAAAAACTTTAAAATTAAATTTTTTCCGTTATCCTTGTTTGGTTTGGTGACAATGTCCTTAATGCTGAAACTGATGATAAATGTCAAATAATGGCGCCAAACATAATTCCATGATAAACCATAATAATAAATTATTGTTTTTTTAAATATGGTAAATATAAATAATCGATATATGAATGTGTAAAAATTAAATATAAAAAAAAATAATTACATATATGAATAATAATAACCTTGTGCAAATTATACATGCATTGAGCAATTCCGCTATCGGGTATATTATTATTATCCAGCCAATCCTGTAAAAAATATAAATAAATGGATGACGATTATATATGAATAAGTGTGTGTGTTAAATTAAATATTAAGAAATTTATAAATTTAAAAAAACATATAAAAAAATTTAAAATTTTCAGAAAAATTTTAATAAAAATTTAATAATAAAAAATTGCAAAAATATTTAAAGACCCAAATAGAAAAAAAAATGCCAGGGAAATAAAACACTCACACATAAAGAAAATATTTAAATTGTATACAATAATAATAAAAAAATAGTAATACAAAAAACATAACAACAACAATGGTGTCAACATGAAGTGTAGGAAAACTAAGTTGAAAAAATGAGGGAAAAACAACAACAACTAGGAAAAAACACTTCAGAAGTAAAACAAATGCAAATGATTTGACAAAGTGCAAAAATATGCAGAAAAAATGGAAGAAGAGGAAGTAGGAAAAAATAAGGAAAACAGGACGATGAAAAAATGGTTTCATGATGCACAATGAAGTGAGGTTATGGTAGTGGTGAGGTGAGGTGAGGTGAGGTGTTGATGGTGGTGACGCGGGTGATATAATGCCTTTAATTTGTATAGAGAATATTTAATTAAAGAAAAAAAGTTACACAGTTTTCAACATCGAAAGTTTTGTGGACATTAAGTAATTATGTTTAATAGCTTCAAGAATCGGTAGCAAAAGGTCTGGCAAAGAGGAGAAATATTGTGGAGATTTTAAAAGGCCAATAAAAATTGTTTAAGGGGCCATCTAAAAATTTTTTAAAAATCCCTTGAAGGGGCCAGCTAAAAATCTTTAAAAAATCCACGCCTATTGTCCTTTAAGGGGTCACCAACAAATATTTAAAAAATCCACGCCTATTGTCCTTTAAGGGGTCACCAACAAATCTTTAAAAAATCCACACCTATTGTCTTTAAAAATCCACGCCTATTGTCCTTTAAGGGGTCACCAACAAATCTTTAAAAAATCCACACCTATTGTCTTTAAAAATCCACGCCTATTGTCCTTTAAGGGGCCAGCTAAAAATCTTTAAAAAAAACCACGCCTATTGTCCTTTAAGCTGTCATTTTAAAATATTTAAAAAATCGACGCCACTAGTCCGTTAAGAGGCCATTTAAAAATCCACGTCTATTGTCCTTTAAGGGGCCTGCTAAAAATCTTTAAAAACTCCACGCCTATTGTCCTTTAAGGGGCCTGCTAAAAATCTTTAAAAAATCCATTCCTATTGTCCTTTATGGGTTCACCAAAAAACCTATTGTCCTTTACTGGTCCTTATTAAAATCCACGCCTATTGTCCTTTACTGGTCCTAATTAAAATCCACGCCTATTGTCCTTTACTGGTCCTTATTAAAATCCACGCCTATTGTCCTTTACTGGTCCTTATTAAAATCCACGCCTATTGTCCTTTACTGGTCCTTATTAAAATCCACGCCTAGTATCCTTTACTGTTTCTTATAAAAATCCACGCCTAGTATCCTTTACTGGTCCTTATAAAAATCCACGCCTAGTATCCTTTACTGGTCCTTATAAAAATCCACGCCTAGTATCCTTTACTGTTTCTTATAAAAATCCACGCCTATTAATAATTTTTTAAATATCCCCCACCTATTGTGGAGTCCATTTAAAAATCATTAAAATAATTCAACCCACATTTATTGTTTAGCACTTTTTCCGAACTTCGAACTTCTCTTTCCAATTTAATGTCAAGTCCTTTCACCATTTTAATGCAATGAAGATTTTTTTGCGTCTATGAACCGAATTTGTTCGCTATTGTTTTGTGAGTATGGTTTTATTTGCCAGAGCCACTCTCATTGTTTTTTATTTTAGTTGTAGTGTTTGTTTCATAAAAAAAATACGGTCCACTTCATAGTTTTTTGTGTGTTAAGTAATTTTTTCTCGTTTATTTTCGTTGTGTCAAACAAAGAAACACTTCATGCAACACCTTTTGCACGCGGTGCCTGCAAATCTCAGTTTTTTATTTGTTTGTTTTGGAAGTGGGGGCAGGTAGTGTTGATTTTTTTTTCAATTGTGGGTCATTGTTTTGCCATGTGGAAGGGGAAAGGCAAAGGCGAAGTGAAGTGATGTATGAACAACTCGAGTAAATGCCAATGGTGTCAAAAGGTGTTTTTTGGATGTAGGTCTCTTTTTTTAATTCGTCCAAAATCTAATGCAAAACAAAATTTAATATTTTCTTAAAATTTCCCATTTTTTAATTTTTATTTTCAAAATTATTTTTTTACAAAAAAATTAAAAATACTTTTTTTAAATAAATTCCACCAAAGTCCCCTTCAGTCTGAGAGAAATTAGATTGGAATCAAGACGAGCATACTTGATTTCAGAGTCAGGACACCATAAGTTTATATAGGAAGATAGTCACGCCACACAATATTACAAACACTCACCACTTAGACCAAAGAAGTAATAGTTAAAACAGTACAGGAGATATTGATAACAACAGTAGTGGCAACCTTTAAAAATTACTTCCATCCTTTAAAAAATTCACGCCTTTTGTCCTTGTAAATATCCTTTAAAAATCCTTTAAAAAATTCACGCCTTTTGTCCTTGTAAATATCCTTTAAAAATCCTTTAAAAAATCCACGCCTATTATCATAATTGGTCCTTATAAAAATCCTTTAAAAAATACACGGCTATTAAAAAAAAGTCTTTAAAAAAATCCATTATATTGGTCTCACTTATGCGGCCTGCGCTCCTTCGGAAAATAATTTATATCTTCTTCTATTGGTCCAACAGGATCTTTTAAAAATCAATGCAAACATCCAGTCCTTTTGGTCTCACAATATCCTTAAAAATCCACGCCAATTGGTCTCCTTTAAAAATCCTTAGAAATACACACCTATTCTCAGAATATGAACCCTCACAAAAATCTTAAAAACCCCCTTAGTATTCTAGGTTTAAAGGAAAATATGTTAATCTTACATGTGCCGTAAGAGTGCTGACATCAATTATTAGCCCTGCTGTCCTTCGGAAATTAATTTCAACTGCGTCTTTTAAAAATCCAAAAAAAAACGAGTTTATTGGTCTCATTAAGTCCTTAAATAAAATCCAAGCATTTTGGATTCACTATGACCTTTTAAAATCCACGCCTCTTGGTCTTATAGAGTCCTTTAAAAATCCTTAAAAAAAATCCAATATCCTTAGAAATCGGCACCTATTATCAGAATATGAACCACCTAAACAGGCTTAAAAATCTCCTTAGAATACCCCGTTTAAAAGAAAAATATTAAAATTGTACATGTACCGTATGAGTACTGACACCATGTATACGCCCTGATATCCTTCAGAAATTTATTTCAATCTTCGTCTATTGGTGTCACTGAGTCCTTTAAAAATCGAAACAAATCTAGTCTATTGGTCTCATTAATTCCTTAAAATACCCTCTTATTTTCTTGATGGGGTCCTTTTAAAATTCCACTCATTTTAGTGTCACGAAGTCCTTTAAAATATCCACGCCTATTGGTCTCACTAAGTACTCTAAAATGTTATTTAAAAATCCACACCTTTTGGTCTTACGAAATCTTTTTTAAACATCCCTCAAAATCTGTGTCTATGTTACGAATATAGATCCTCAAAAAATCTCTAAAAATACCCTTAGAATCCCCTTTAAAGGGAAATTTTTTTCATGGTCCCTGTGACGTATAAGTACTGACAACATTTATAAGCCCTGCTATCCTTCGGAAATGAATATCAACATTCGTATTTTGGTCTCACAAATCCTTAAAAAATCCATTAAAATCCTTAAAAATCCACGCCTATTGGCTTTACTAAGTCCTTTAAACATTCCTACAAAAAACCAACCATATTGGCCTCAGCATGTCCTTTTAAAATTATATAAAAATACTCTCCTTTTGTCTTACGAAGTCCTTTAAAAAATCTTTAAAAATTCAGGCCTACTGTCCAAATGTAGAAACTCAAAAAATCTTTAAAAATTCCCTTAGAACCACCCCTTTGAAGGGAAATTATTTCATGGTTCCTGTGCCGTATACGTACTGACATCACTTATACGCCCTGCTGTCCTTTGAGAATTAATTACAATCCTCTATTGGACTTAATGTGTCCTTTAAAAATTTATAAACAATTCTCAAATATTGGTCTCACAAAGTCCGTTTTTTTTTAATTCAAACATTTTAGTTTCATGAAGTCCTTTAAAAATATTTAAAACTTCACACCTATTGTCTGAATATGGACCCTCGTAAATTTTTCAAAAATCCCATTACAATTTCCTTTTTTAAGGGAAATAATTTCACGGTCTATGAGGCGTATAACTACTGACACCACTTATACGCACTGCCGTGTTTTGGAAATGAATTGTCTATTGGTCTTACTGATACCTTAAAAAATCCTTAAAAATTAAGCGTCTATAGATATCACTAAGTTTTTTAAAAAATCCTTAAAAATCAACGCCTTTTGGTCTCACAAAGTCCTTTTAAAAATCCTCACCTATTGTCCGAATATGGACCCTTGAAAAAATCTTTAAAAAAAACCTTAAAATCTCCCCCTTTAAAAGGAAAATAATTGCATGGTCCCTGTACCGTATACGTATCGACACCACTTATACGCCCTACTGGCCTTTGAGAATTAATTTCATTTCTTCCTAATTTCTTGTTGTTGTTGCTTTACTGTTGTTATCATTTATCGGATTTGGAAACATTTACGGAGCAAGACCTACAGAAGGATGATAATGATGACGATGTAGCTAGCTTTACAACACGTGTCGAGCATTACATCCTGTCACATTTTCATATTGTTGTTAAAACCATTTTTAGGTGACCCTTTTTATGTGGAGACGAAGGAGGGTCGGAAGACTTACCTGAAATCTCAACATCAGGAACATGACAACAAATACCAAAAACAAACATAAGCCGATTATGGGAAAGCTGACAAGATAACGAAAGGCACGACGCTTCCAGGCGGGTGCTTCTTTGGGTTCCAAACGGCCGGTTACATTGTTCTCAACAAGGGGACCCTGTTTGAGGAGGGGATAGACAAAAAATTAAAAGAGAAAAAGAGGAGAAGAAAAAAATTGGTTAGATTGAAAAATTTAGGGCCGTATTCTTTACCTTATAAAGCGGTCTCGGTGGTTCCAAAAGTTCCGGTGGTGTGGATAGAGTACCCCAGCGAAATGCCAGCTCCACGGAATATCTTTTCCAGGCCTCCAAATACAATGAAGCCCAGGCCACATTGAAAAGCGAAAATAGCACATGGCCCATATCCTGGGCCATTTGATTTTTACCCCACAAAAAGGCATAGAGAATGGTGCCGAATACCGCCGGCACACCCAGAGCACAGGTGTAGTGGCCCAGCCAGGCAAAATATAAGGCCACCTTGACACCAAAATATTCAGCAATGTCATCTACAAAGACGAGAACAAAAAAATAAAATTTAATTCCCCCTTCCCCTCAAAAAATCCTCTCTATCCTCCTCCTCACCTAATGGCTGGGGCGCCAGCACCTGTTTGACCCAACTTTTTTGCAGTGAGGCCAAACTTTTCGTCTCATGCAGCGGGAAAATTTGCATTATCAGCCCCGTCTCTTGCCAGGCGGCCACAATACTTTGACCCTCCTCAACGGCTGCACGACCCTGTAGCGCCTCAATATCCGACTGGCCAGCCCTTAGCCCTTGCAGCACCTGCAACACCAACCATTGACGTTCCTGTGAGGTAAACAGCGATGTATTGCCGTCATCACTTTTAATCTGCTGAAAGCAATGACTTTCGCGGGTTGTAAATTCTCGTAAGGCACCACCCAAATCCGGACGTAAACGTTTTGGTAAACGAGCCTCTTCCGCTGCGCGAAAAAGTCTGCGAAGAGAGAGAAAAAATCGCAAGAAAAACAAAATTAATAGATTTCCTTCTCCCCAGCGCCTAAAAATAGGCAGCAGAAAAATCATTGAATTTTTATTTACATATTTGTCGGGGCACTTATATAAAATGCATTTCGCCTTGAACTTTCGTGAGCCTTCACCTGTACCACCAAACCCAAACCGGCTGGTGGCTGTGACCGTATGCGTGCCAAGAGCCAACGTAATGCCTCATCGGGTGCATCTTCGGGAAATTCAATGACCACATCACATTGGGTGGGTATTTTGTTAAGCCAGAGACGGCGAGGAGTCATCAAATGGCCGGCATAGGGTACCTTGCGGCGCAGCTGTCGAGAAGCTGAAAAGAAAAGGGGGAAAGAAAAATATAGCAGGTAAGATAATGTGACCCAAAAATGAGAAAAATACAAATTCAGCTAATTTTTTTCGACAAAAAATTAAAATTGTTATTCAGCAGAAGTTTTTCACAATTCAGCAAAGTTGTAATTGATAAAAACACAATTCTAGCTTTTCAATGGAAAAGCACCATTTAGATAAGTTTTCCTAGCGAAATATTCAATTCAGCCAAGTTTTCCTAATGAAAAAATCAATTCAGCCAAGTTTTCCTTGTGATATTAAATTGAGCTACCTTCTCCTTATGAAGACATCAATTCATTCAATTTCTGGAAAAAATGGAATAATGTTGAATTTTTTTTTTTTTGTAAAAACTCTATTTTTTATAGAACAAAAATGTTATTCAGCAAAATGTTTTCACATTTCAGCAAAGTTTTAACTGAAAAAAACACAATTCAGCTAGCTTTTCAATGGAAAAGCTAGCGAAATATGCAATTCAGATCAGTTTTCCTTATGAAAACGTCAATTCAGCTAAGTTTTCCTGATGAAAGAATCAATGCAGCCAAGTTTTCCTAGTGAAATATTCAATTCAGCTAAGATTTCTTAAAGAAAAAAGCAATTCAGCTACGTTTTCTGGAAAAAAATCAATACAGCTTAGTTTCTCTGGTAAAAACTCTATTCAGCTAAGTTTTTCTAATTTTTATCGAAAAAAATGCTATTCAGCATAACTTTTTCACAATTCAGCAAACTTTATATTGAAAAAAATACAATTCAGCAAGCTTTTCTTTGGGAAAACATTAATTCAGCTAAGTTTCCCCAGTGGAATATTCAACTCAGCTACGCTTTCCTTATGAAAACATCAATTCAGCTAAGTTTTCCTAATGAAAAAACAATTCAGCTACGTTTTCTGGTAAAAAATCAATTCAGCTCAGTTATTCTGCTAAAAACTCTATTCAGCTACGCTTTTCTAGCAAAATAATTCAATTCAGCTAAGTTTTTCAAGTAAACAAATCAATCCAACTTAGTTTTTCTGGTAAAAAAAAACTCAGCTAAGTGTTTCCAATGAAAAGGTCAATTCAGCTACGTTTTTCGACTGGAATTTTTATTTTCAGCTATGTTTTTCTATAGAAACCCCAATTCAGCTAACTTGTTTTAACGAGAAACTCAATTCAGCTACGCATTTCAAATAAAAGACTCAATTCAGCTAAGTTTCTATGTAGAAAAAATTAATTCAGCTATGTTGTTCTGTAAAACATTACAATTCAGCTAGCTTAATTAAACAAAAATTCAATTCAGCTAAGTTTTTCTAACGTAAATTCAATTCAAGCTAAGTTTTTCAAATAAAAAATTAATTCAGCTAACTTTTTCCAACGATAAACTCAATTCAGCAATGTTTTTCTATCGAAAAACTCAAATCCTCGAACTTTTTGTAAAGACATCCTCAATTCAGCTAAGATTTCCTTTGGGAAAAATTAATTCAGATGCTTTTTTCCATAGAACTTAGCAAATTCAGCTGAGTTTTTCTATAGAAAATGTGTTTTCAATGACAATTTAAGAAATCAATTCAGCAAACATTTGCATTAGCATAAAGCTGTTCAGCTATGTTTGTCTACAGCTACGTTTTTGTGTAGAAAAAATCAATTCAGCTAAGCCTTTTTAAAATATTCAGCTACGATATTGTATTGAAACCCCCAATTCAGCTAACTTTTTCATTAGAAAAAGTCTATTTACCTAATTTTTTCTTCAGAAAATCCAATTCAGCTACGTTTTTATATTGAAAACTGCAATTCAGCTAAGGTTTTCTGTGGAAAACCACAGTTAAGATAACATTTTCTATCAATAACTTTATTAAGCTAAATTTTTACAGAAGAAAAAATCAATTCAACTACATTATTAAATTGAAAAATGTAAATTCAGCCATGTTTTTCTTCATAAAATCTCAGTTTAGCGATGTTTTTCCAAAAAATCAACCAATTTAGCTACGTTTTTCTATTGAAAATACTAATTCAGCTTCGGAAAATCCAATTCAGCTTTGTTTTTATATTGAAAACTGCAATTCAGCAACAGAAAAAAATCAATTCAGCTGACGTTTTCTGTGGATAATCACAGTTAAGATAACATTTTCTATAGAAAAACTAAATTCAGCTAAGTTTTTCGTAAGGAAAAATCAATTCAGGGAAATTTTTCGTAAGAAAAACTCAATTCAGCTAAGTCTTTCGCGTGGAAAATTCAATTCAGCTAAGTTTTTCTTATTGAAAATTCAGTTTTGATGCATTTTACTAAAGAATCAGTCAATTCAGCTTCTTTTTTCTATATGAAAACCCAATTCAGCTAAGTTTTTCTATAAAAAAAATCGGTTTTCTTAGGTTAGAAAAAATAAATGCAGCTAAATTGTCTTTAATGAAAACTTATTTTTGCTACGTTTTTCTAAAGAACCAACAAATTCAGCTACGTTTTCTAATGAAACCCCCCAATTCAGCAACATTTTTCTAGAAAAAAATAGTTGTTCATTAAAAAAAATCCATTCAACTACATTTTACGATAGAATTTTCTTTTGAAAAACTAAATTCAGCTACATCATTCTTAAGGAAAACTCAATTCAGCTAAGTTTCTCAACGAAAACAGTCAATTCGGCTACGTTTTTTCTACTGAAATCCCCAATTCAGCTAACAAATTCTACAGAAAAACTTAATTCAAATAATGTTTTCACTAGAAAAATTCAATTCAGCTAAGTTTTTCATTAAGAAAAATTAATTCAGCTAGATTTGTCTAAAGAAACCCCAACTCAGCTAGAAGTATTCTATTGAAAAACTAAATTCAGCTACAACATTCTTAAGGAAAACTCAACTTAGCTAACTTTTTCAACGAAAACAGTTCAGCTAAGTTCTTCTATTGAAAATCACAATTCAGCTAAATTTGTCTATCAAAAATATTAAATTTTTAATTGCTTTTAATTATACAAGAACTCTATGCACTCAATCCCTCACATGGTGGCCTTCTTTCGACTTCAAATTGTTATCAACTACCACCACATTTGCACAGCTCTGCTTTTTGCAAACATACACATACTCTCAGGCAAGTTGACATTCATTAAGGCCATCCTGCCACTTGCTGATAATGGGTATGAAACCAATTCCCTACTACCACCAACAAAACAAAACCAAAAATAAATGTTCGGAAAGTGAAACTACATTCCAAATGGGGCCACAACAGAAACAAACAAGCAGCTGCAGCAGTAGTACCAGCAGGAAATATTCCCAAGGAATTGAAAAGAAAACAATAACAACAACAGCACGACCTTCTAAAGAGAAATACTTTGAAAACAAAGGATCGGGACGACACAGAAGGATGTAAGAAATTTCCTTTAACATGCAGTCAGTCAGTCAGAGTCTTTAGAAATTTAGAAAATACTGTGAAGTAGTTTGCATACCACAGGAAATGAATTCGCAACTATTGTCAGGATGTTAGATAAATGTGAGAATCTACGAAGGTAGGTAAGTACACTGAGGAAGTTCGGAAAACATGCCATAGCCGGTTTGCCTTGCTCAAACACAAATTGCCTGGCTATTATCAAAAAACTTTTAATTAGACAATGACGATGAGTGAGGAAATAGTTGACATGACAAATGTTCGGGAAATTTTTTGATAATGTCAATTCAGCTACTTTTTTCGATAGAAAACGACAATTCAGTAATGATTTTCAGTTGAAAAAATCAATTCAGGTAAGTTATTTTAATGTAAAACACAATTCAGCAATATTTTCCTATCGGGAAAGTCAATTCAGCAAAGTTTTTTATAGAAAAAACTGAATTCTGCTAACAATTGGTACCAAAAAAGTAAATCCAGCTAAGTTTTTATATACACAAAGCCAATTCAGCCATGTTTTCTTATAGCGAAACACAATTCAGCAAAATGTTCATATTTAAAAAGTCAATTCAGCAATGTGTTTTTGTAGAAAATGTCAACTCAGCTACTTTTTTCAAAAGAAAACCACAATTCAGCAAAGATTTTCAAATGAAAAAATCAATTTAGCTTAGTTATCTAATAAAAATACTATTTTGTTAAATATACTATATATATTTTGTTAAAGAAAAACTCAATTCAGCTGAGTTTTACAATAGAAAAACTCAAGCTAAGTTTTAATATGAAAAAAGTCAATTCAGCTATGTTTTTATAGTAAACCACAATTCTGTTAAATTTTTCTGTAAGCACTTTTTGTAGAAAATCCCAATTCAGCGTATTTCAACTAACAATTGATACCGAATAAATCAATTCGTCTGCGTTTTTCTAATGACGAACACAATTCAGCTAAATTCTCCTATCGGGAAAGTCAATTCAGCAAAATTTTCTATAGAAAATTGCAACTATTCAAAATTTTGTTTAAGAAAAACACAATTCAGCTAAGTTTTACAATACAAAAACTCAATTCAGCTAATATTTGGTGCCAAAAAAATCAATTCAGCTAAGTTTTTATATGCAAAAATCAATTCAGTTATGTTTTTATATAGTAGAACAGAATTCAGCTAAATGTTTCTATATGAAAATGTCAATTCAGCAAAGTTTTTCTATAGAAAATCCCCATTCCCACTATTTTTTCCCAAGAAAAACTCAAGTCAGCTAACTTTTGCAATAGTAAAACGTTATTCATCAATCAATTGGTACCGAAAAAATCAAGTCAGCAAAGTTTTTATATGCAAAGTATTAATTCAGCTAAGTATTTATAGGCAAAAAGTCATTTCAGCTGTTTTTCGATAGAAAAAGTCAGTTCAGCGAACTTTTTCTTTAATTCAGCTAACTTTTCTTACGGAAAAAATTAATTCAGCTAACAATTCTGACAGGAAAATTCAATTCAGCTAACTTTTCATATGGAAAACTCAATTCAGCTAACCCTTGGTGATGAAAATGGTAACTTATTAAACTTGTCACAATTGGAACCTCAATTCAGCTAAGCCATTCTATAGAAAAACTCAATTCAGCTAACTTTTCTTATAGAAAAAAGTCC